AAATTATAAATATTGTAATACAAACGGTTTAATTATCACACTTTAATTATAAATGTTATAATACAAACGCTTGCATCGTAAATACACATTAAGATAGCCAAAAAAGATATGATTGGCTTTGACCAACAAACTTCCATTTAATACAATATGGTTCATAAAACATTGTTTATGGTTGTTTTAAAACAATACGATTGTAGTGGATTTTGTTTCGCCCGAAATGCTGTATATTTAATACTATGTGTGGCTCCAACAAAAATACTTTAAATAATAAAACAGTTTTTTTCTTTAAAAACGTTTTAACAAATATGTAAAAAGAATTGTTAAAGCCATAACTTTTTGAAATGAATTATTTTTACCAGTAGGCCTATTAGGCATACATTACAATTTTAAAATTTAAATATTTGTGGTACAGGTTCCTTACTGTACGACACCTTATTGAACGTTAACCCTAAAAGAAATTCCTGCTATTGACAACACAAAAAAAAATCGGTTTAAACATCATAGTTTGTTCTTTTAATTTACTACGCCGTTTCATGATATGAAATAATAGCAATAGTGGCAAACTATATCTATCCTAATACATTCTTATATCAATTCTAAAAAGACATAGTCTAATAATTTAACATTTTAATTGTTGAAAATTGTCTATAAATATATCTTTTTTCGTAGTTGAATGTATCCTCACCTCTCGCTCTCACCATATTGTATTAAATTAATTTGATCAGAAAGTTCTTTCAAACTTAACTTACTAATAACGTGAGTCCAAACTATGAAAACTTTCTCACAATATGTGTCAAATGTGTATAAAATAACAAATGATTCATACAACAATATTTTGATTCGTTATAAAACAGCAATTGAACAACTGATCTGTAACAATGATCGCTGGGTAGATATCATACTGCTAGCTCCTATTGAAAATACATTGTTAACGGATTAAAGGATAAGGACGTTGTGGAGTGGTTACAAAAGGCTTAACACATGTGTTTTGTTGAAAGGCGTATTAGAATAACTTTTAAAATAGAATATTTTTATTTTATTTGCAGTTACTTTACTAGATTATTAAATAATTAGTTTGTCATCAGCTTTTTTCTCTATACAATCCTCATCATACTACATTATCATAATTTTTTGAATTGAGTAAAGTAATGTGATTTTTTTATTTTAATCATTGGAACATATTTTGTGTCAATGATTAATTTAATGAATACTCAGTGGTTAAAGTGCTCGACTTCAAATTTGAAGTTATCTGGTTCGATCCCAACCGGGATTGGTACTAGACATGGATGGTATTATGGGAATTGTCGTAGTGTCATAAATTTATGATATTTTCTAACAAGTAGACAATGTAACAAAACTAGGGTTTAAATCGTTTATTTTCAAAACGTTAAAAAAACTCCAATAGCATAAATACAAAAAATACAAAATAAAATAAAAACTCGTCTTATTATAATACTTTTTTTCAAGCATTACAACGAATCCCCAACTTCGCGTTTTGTTCCCTTCGTATCACAGAAGCTTTCATGCTTTATATCCCTGTTTTCTTTTATATTGAACATAAGGTAAGACTTTACTATTATTGGAACACACATCTTATATCTAGTAGTATGTTTTTTACCGAAGGTATGTGCAATTAGTAGCCATAAAATCGAAAAAACCAATGTTGTAATATACAAATTCTAGAATAAAAGAATTAATTAAGTTATCACTAAAATATTTCTTAGATTATATATCTAGATAGTTATATTACAATTCAATGTCCAACACGTAAGACTACTGGGTAGCGCGGAGTGAAAGTGTTCTAGACAAGTCAAGGACTAACAAACAGTTCAAGTTCAAGGTGTTTGAGACCAGCAGTTCGCCAAGGAGTTTGATTTTAGCCATTGAAACTTTTCTATTGCAACTTTATCTTAAGCTTTTCTAAGGCTTAATGGACCACCTGAAATAGTGCACAAAATAAATAAGTTGATTCCCTGTAATTTTAGTAGGATATATTTTTGTTTTAATGCTTACTTGTTTTGTTTCTGGTCGATAGATAAAATGTCAAACAACAAAGATAGGTGTAAATTTTAATTTTTCTTTTCCAAAACTACAATGTTAAAAAGAGCATTTTATCCTAAAGTGTTAAAATAAATTAAATAATATTTTAAGAAGATGTAGCTCAGTTAGTGCAGAATTGTTTATTGGATTGATCAACTACGACAAAGTTGCTTTTATTAATGATGAAGCTGTTTACTATTAGAAAATTGTTGTTTTTAACTACAAAATCGTTAATTAATGTCTGAATTCACTTGTTGGATACCAAATGTACGTTAACACTAACAAAAAATATGTGTATATATTTCAGAATCATATAGTATTCCGAAAACTATATTCCGAAATATTTTTCCGTAATCATTTTGTAATTCGAATATTTTGTTAATTTTTTATTTTGTGTATATTAACGTTTCTGGCATGTTTAACGATATTTTAGAGGACGGTCCAGTCCTTGGTTCATATTTGAAGACAAGCATTATAACCACTTTGCTAACCCAGACAATTAGATTTTAAGAATAAATAAGATTCTAAATTGTATACTTTAAGCAATTACGTTATTCAATGATCAAAAGACTGACTTACGTTCGTTAAAACTACATTACATTCATGCTAATTCCTTAAACAAAAAGAACGGAATTGTATTTTAGGTACCAAAAAATACTGCTACAACTTTCCTCTGATAAAATAATGTTGCCTGATAAGGAAATCTATCCGTATGAAGGTTTAAGGAAAACTATCAAACTTGTTAAATAAAACTAGGCCAGGCAAAAGGCTATTATCTTCTTAATATATCACCAATTCACCAAACTTCCTCAATTTAATAATAAATATCCGACGGAAATAAAAAAATTACATTTAGTTCCCCTCGTCCTAATGTGAAGGTCGTCTGAAGGACGAAAACATGTTTGAGCCTGTCCGACACTTCCGACTCACTGGACGTGATAAGAGTGATAAGGAACAGCTGATTGATAAGCACCAACCATCCATGGCTTTAACATTGGCTGTCACCTTATCATTAATAAATGAACGGAGGTAGAATTTGAAATGAGAAGTATCCTTTGGATTTACAGTACTTCCTAGTTCCGTAGCCAATTACAGGCTGCAATTATACGCTACAATTATAGGCTACAATTATAACTACTTCTTGTTCTTTTAATTCGTGTGTTCTAATGAGTTGTATTAATATTAAAAGATAAACTTTTGAATTGAACCAAAACTGCAGTACTATACGTAATAAAATAAATGTTTTACGGGTTAAAATACTTTAATACTTTTCAATACTTTACCTTGAAAGGGCGACCGGTCGAATGTAGGTATTTTAAGCCAGGTATGAATGGAGATGAGTGTAGGATGAGTGGTGCCGACATATTCTATAGACACAGCTGTTAATTATTAGCCCGTGCAGCCATTGGCAAAAAAGGGACCTAGTTTATAGTGGAATCCGAACCACATTTTCGCCTTATAATTAACGAACTGGTCTAATTATCAGGATAGTACTGCGGATAGTACTCACAAGTGCGGACGTTAATCCACACCAGGGAGTATCGCATCCACAGTGCACGCATATAAGTATACACAATTCTATAAAACGTTTAATTGTATAAAATATTATTTTAATTTTGTTATTGTTAGGGGTTTTGGCCATGGCATGTGGCACCATTCTGAACCTTGAGTTTATTGAGAAAAGCGCCTACCAAGACTTCAAGATATCCAAGACTGAAGATGACCAAATTCATAGAACAGGCCTAGTAGTATCGTCACCCAATAAAACTGTTTAAGAAGCAGAAAATATTGAAGATCTGTCCACAATGCAACATCAATCTAGATCAAAGTTCTTCTATATAATATTTTAAACCAATCTAATGGGTTTTTTTCACAAATTAGTATATAGTTGACTGTAAAAACAAAAATAACATGATATATGTTAAACCTCTTAATTTCTAAATATCCACTAGCATTTTTTTTAAGCAGACGTATTGAACAGTACCCAAGCTATAGGATTTTATTGGTACGGGAAGTATTGACCTACTATACCTAAAAAACAGCAACAATCCATTTTTGACATATTGTCAGGCAAAACATATTCACAAGTGTTCTGGCTCTATATTAAAACCAAAGCTTACTTTGGTAAACAAAATTAATGAAAAGTCCTTTACAAATATCTCTTAAATCATTTTGTACATCATTTAGCAAACTTTACCTCTTAACAATACTTGTTTAACACTCTTAGTCTTTACATGGATTGTCATCATAAGGTAAAAAGAGCTTATGGTAAACAAATATTGAGTGAACAATTTTATTATTTCTTCATTTATTCTTTGTCATTTTTTAATTTGTCTTTATTTTGAAATTTGTACGGAAAGGATATTTATTAAGCGAAGGATAAAAAAAAACTTTGAACAAACTTTAAAAAGTAATAAGTAAGTACTAAAATTTAAAAACAAGATCTGCAGTTGGAGAAAAACCTTGACTAGTAGAAAAAACAATAAACACAGCTAGCATTTTTACCTTTTGAAATGTTTCCGTACCCAGAAATCTGTAAGGGAGTTTAGTTTTTTTATTCAAATAGTTTGTTTAATTCAGATATTGAGCTTAGAACACTACGTTCACACACGTAATGAACACTACGTAATGGTGCTGCAGGCTTTAGACCTTATTAGACTTTCCAGTCCTTGAAATCTAACATACGAAAACGGCATCACTATACCAGAAATCACACAGAAGGGGAAACAATTTAACAACAACCGAAACCAAGCTTTATCACAACTTTCTAAAACAATCATTCAGGAACTGCATCAATTGTTCAACTGCGGTGTCAATGGTTAAATCAGCTGTAATTACAGCTGGCCATCGCTAATTGATCTAATCACCTGTTACACCGTGACCGTCACCGGAACTTCCGGACTGGTGGTATCAGCTGTTCTGTCGCTACCAGTACCACCGGAGTTCAGTCAGTCGGTGAGTGCCCCGCGTGTAGGGAGTGTTGTGATGTCTCCTGGAATACACGTCCGTGTTGTAACCGTGACTTGCTTGTGGATATTGTACACAGGTGATTAAGTTTGACGTAATTTTTTTATTGTTAAGTATTTTTGAAGGTTAATTTATTTATTTATCAAAATCTAATGTGTTTATTGCTATTAACTTGTGTTATCTCTTAATGCATTTAAGTTTTGTTTTTTTGGAGATTAGTGGTCTTACGCTATGTAACCAACGCTTAATAAATACGTGTTTTACTGTACTAAGTAAAAAAAAATAATTTGTAGGTTAAAATTACCGCGGATGGAATGAAAAGTGTATTGGGGTAGTCGCACCTCATTCAATTAATCAATAAACTGGTATAAATTGTATTTTGTATAAACTGTCATTTTGTACTGTAAAGTTAGGTTTATATTTTCGTATCAATTTATGTTTATTTGATCAATAGGGAATAAGGGGTTTAAAATTAAATTTTACTCTACTTATATTTTAATGTGAAATCCACTATAATTTTTATTTGATTAAATAATGGTAGGAATGGCCTCAATTCCGATAGAGAATATCATATTAATTCTTGTTGTATGATTGAAAGTTATATCTATATTCTACGTAGTCGTCCGCAGACGTTATCAATATGGCATGTTTGTTTTATTCCTTGCAATCAGCTGTTGTAAACATAACCTCAAACGCGGAAACTGTACTAAATGTTGAATCAATTTTAAAATACAATATAAAATTAGAAAATAATGTAACTGTAATAATACGTTATGTAAAACATTCTCTTTTATCTCTTATAGCGTTTAACACAAATATTGCAAGATTATCAAATCGTTTTGAATAAGTCTACAGCTCAAAACACAGCCTTGGAAAAACATTTTTCTGGGGACAGGTATTGCGAATTTTCCTATAGGGAAGTAGCTATCACTGTAGGTCTCATGGTAAGACCTATGGCCGGGACCGAGTTACTTTTTCATTTTGATGTCCCCAGAGGCCAAAAACACCATTCGTTCGAATTTGGTTTTTTCAAAGGTGGAAGGCGAGATAAAATTGAATGAGTTCGCGAACCAGCATGATCAGACCATTGGAACGGGGTAACGGGGGGTTTTATGAGGTAAAAATGGGGTTTTCTCATTTTTACCATAAAAATACACAAAATTTATCAATTTTTCTCCAGACCTTTATCAATAGCTTGAAAAAAATACTAATTTAGTATATCAAAGATTGTTTTACGGTAATTGGTTTCCAAAAAAAAAATATTAATTTAATATTCCCATGTTATTCTAAAGGAGAACATTTTAAAATGCTGTAGTTGGCTTGTTTATGGATATATTTTGATCAAATTTGGTGAATGTATTTATTTCAAACTAAGCTATTGATATTTTAATAAAAACACACTTTATTAGTTTTCCTGTAGCAGCTAGCCTAGACACTAGTTTAACATAAAGGTCAATTTAATAGATTAATTTAAAATCAATCCAGGCAAAGGGAAATTCGCTTAGTCGGCAGGTTTGCTGCAGCGGGGGTATTTCAACAACGAATAACACTTGCATTCATCAGACTTAGCCCAAAAACCTGCATCCCGTAAAATACCCATTACGCATTTAAAAACAACGCATTGTAACATATTACTTGAACAATTAAATCTGTTACGGGTAATCGCACAAACATGGACAAACGTTAAAAGGTCTTTTATCTTGGCATAAACATAACTCTTATTTTATGTATTGACATAAACGTTAATCAAGGCGTAAGGTATTGCGAAAGAACGCTTAATTTTTAAGTTTCCTCTTGCTGTTAGTTACGTCTTAAACCGCAGCATGACTTTTGAGAATCGTGACCAAGATTGTCACGATTGTTGGTAATAGTGTAATAGACTCCCAGGATTATGGGAAGAAAAATAATGGTAAATTACCTCATGTTAGGTTACGTGCGTTATGATTAAGACGCATACTAAAAGTAATTTTTAAATAAGCTGATACATTTTTCTAATTGAATTGCTTTTTGAGAAATTAAAGAAAGTATAAATATTATTAGTGTATAGTAAAGAAGTATTCAATAGGTATTTTATGGTTAATTTTAATTCAACATCACTAATCCAATTGAGAAATACTAAAAGTCAATTATACATTTTTTTTGTATTCTGCTCTCCGAGGGGTTCTAAGATTTTTTTATTGTGAAAAAATAGCACTTTGAGAACTGTAAAAAATATTTTTCTGCCAGATAGTGTACCCTTTTTTAACTAAGTCAATCTGGTTTCAGTCAGACAATCCCCTAAAGAGGTATACTAATGGAGTACGACTGCTTAATATACAGAGTGTTTCAAAAAGAATAATCCGATTTCGTAGCTTTATAAATTGAAAACGAATAATCACATGGACATGAGGTTGATTTTATATTTAAGAGTAACTAATGCAGTTTTTTACAAACCATTTACAGGTGCTCAATATGGAACCCTTTAGATGCATAGGTGCAACTTGCAATACAAATTTACTTAGGTTGAAAGGAGTTTTGAAAACAATTATAAATTTTAAAATAAATGCCATTTTTTTAAAGTTGGGTGTTTTTTTGGGGTGAAGGTAAATGCTATTTTCTGGAAACACATAAGTAGTGTATCTTGTAGAAAATGTAATTCCTGACCATGAAAATTCTTTCAAATCTTTGCCAGCTCTTACCACCTTCTATTTATAGCAAAAAACGGGTTTTTTTCGTTTTCAGATCTCCGCCATTTTTGATCTTTGGGTGGGTTAAAATTTTAAAATGGTACTATTAGATATTTTCTGCGTAACTCGAGAACTTCTTCTTTCTAACAGTATATTGTTCGATCAAATCGGATTCATAGATGACTTTTCATCGGAGCTATGATTTTTCAAAATCTGATGATTCTTTTTGAAACACCCTGTACAATTGTGCCAATGCTTTTCAAATGTTAATTTAATGTCACGATAAAAATATCTTGTATCAAAGATTACGTTAAGTTTTAATCTACAGTAAATTATATTTTAACGCCACGCTCAATAATATTTATACCGAAATAAATATTCCCCATTTAACTGTAGACTAAAATGTGATATTTACTTCCTACTGAACTGTTTAGTATAAGGGAGATTTATAGGTAAAATAAAAACCGATTAATCACTTTAATTTGTTAATGCGGTACATTTCAAACTATACCGGAAAAGTGTGTTATGATTCGTCAGTTCCGATGAAAACAGGTTTTGATAATGGGTTTCTTGCTCTTTTGCCATGTCAGGTTGTTCCCTTGAGCTAGACAATTAGTGTTAAGTAATAAGCTGCCGACCTTTACTAGTCCAAAACATTACAACTGTGTAAATATAATAATGACTAAGGAAACTAAAAACCCAAATGTTGCCCGATTGAGAAGCTAAGAATCCCCATTTGTTTATTATTAGTGTTTGACAGGTGTTGGAAAAACAGTTCGAAAATACCTAAAAAATGGAGATACCTAATGGTAAGAATAGGTCATACAGGGAATACCTGTAACGAGTTAAAACAACATTGTACGCTGCCATTTTAATAGTTAGGCATATTTATGTTTGTATGAATACACCACTGTATTTAGCTCTAAGTAAAAGATTGAAAATCTAATAATTAGATACTTACGTATCATACCGACCACACTGATAAATCGACTTACAACTAAGTTTTCAATTTGTTTAAACAGCAAAATCTTCCTAACCTAACCTAACCTAAAATATAGTCCACCCTTAGGTTAGGTTATAATTATTAGGTGTGGTTTATAGAGTACGTAAGTACAAATAATTACAACCCCAAATCTAAAATGTATTACATTTTTTTCCTAAAAAAAGGTTTTTAATTTTCTATTTTTAACATTTTGACATTTTAGCAATGTTAAATCATTACTTCAACATGTTTACGGTTTAGTTTCAATATCTAAGTTTTACAAAGACCCTTTTACAGTATGCTATTTCCCTCTGATCTAACCAGTATTTAAATATTTTAATTTCTTATATTGATAACGACATTCGGCAAAAGGTTCATGGATAACATCAGAATAGTACGTAATTTGATCTGGGAATAGGACAAATTCAATAATTTTTCATTCTATTAGTTTTTCTGGCTCTGCGTGGAATTTGATTATTTATTGATGTTCTTTATTTTTATTTTAATATCTGTTAAGTATTTAAATACTTTACTTATAGCTTTATGTATTTAGTAGCGTACGCATTCAACTATAGTATATTTGTATACAAATGTAGCGATCTAAGACCTTACAAATGTCATATTATGAATTTAGTTTTTGACGGGATGATATCTCCCCTCTGACATCTTCCCTCTGACATCCTCCCTTCCACAACAGGTTTGCATGCAAGCTTTCTTTGCAGAGTTGAATTATTTATTACGATCGTCATACTCCAGCGTTCGTGTTAACGCCAAATTATCTCCTCAGCAACACTAATACCCATATTTCAAAGCTAAGTACACCTTGGAGTTCCGGTTACCTTGGCAACTCTAAGACGTTTGGCAACCTAGTATTTCGTCCCTTGATTGAGTGCAGCTTCTTATTCTCACAGTTCACAATAGCTGTCCTTGTCTTAGTCTCCTCAGTTTACAATTCTCTCTCTCTCTCTCTCTATTTTACACTCTCAGTTGCACAGTAGCAGTGTCATCACGACCAAGGTTGCGTTATCCCGTATGACTATCATAGCTGCGGGCGAGAAATGTAAAACTAGGCCTGGGTTTTCTCACATGTGAAGCAACAGCTGTAAGCCAAGTTATACGCAATGGTATTTTTTATTATTTTGCTAGCTTCAACGCCATAGGGACTTTTAAGGTTTATGCAAGGGACCAGAGTGAACCATGCCATTGTTGACTTGTAGATCTTTTAGGTGGCACTTATTTGGTAGCCCAAAGACAAAAGTGTTTTGGTCTAGAATAGGTTTCTCTTTGGATTGAACTAGTAGCCTTTAAGTTTGCAGGCAAGCATTACGACTTGCCAGAATATACAATCGTTTTACTTGAATATTAAGTAATTTGAAATTGATTGGATCATCTAATAGACCTGATTTTCCCATCGTAAATAGTAGCTCTGTTAATGGGAGCTCTATTAATCTCTAGCGTCTAGCCTACACAACATTTACATTATTTACTTGTCTGCCATAATGTTACACTTGTATAGCCTAGAGATCAGTGACAGTCTAAACCTGAAATTCAAATCTTTAAACATGAACCAAAATATACAAATATCCAAATCTATAATCTTTAAATCCAAACGCAAACCATTTTAGCAACCAGATTAACGTTTGAAAAATACAGTTAATAATAAAACGTTTACTATGCAGTCAAAGCTTGAAGAAATTCAGTATTGATGACCCTAAAAATACAGATGAAATATAATTAAAAAAAAATAAAAACATTATAGTAAAATTTAACTCTTAACACAAACATGAGTATAAGATCTATTTAACCATTTAGTGGTATATTTTTATTTGTCTTTGATACAATATAGAACGGTTCAGTACGTCTTCGTTGTATTAATCGTTATGATACCTATTGTAATTCCGAATATAACTTACGTGTCATCGGGGTTTGTGGTGATCTGTGCTCAATTTCTATCAGGTTTTGCGTGATAGGTGGCCTGTTTCCAGATCGCTGACTAGATTTCTTACTTACGCCTTTCATAATTTGATTGACACCCAAATAATGCAAACAACAATAATATGGGGCTGATAGAATCTCGAAACCGAAACCTATCTTAAGATTTTGTGGTTTTGTGATTAAGGATTCGGTTTTGACTCATCACTAGTATTGACGTTTTTACTAGTTGAAAACAAACTCATCAAAATAGAATATTTATCATCAGGTAATGAATCTGATGTGATGAATTCTACAATATCGACATTTCACATTGAATCTGATGTGATGAATATACAATATATCGAAATTCCACTGACTTACATCACTACTTACTCTTTAGAAGTCACGTGATATACGTAACATAGCGATAACAATTACCTCTTTATTTATTTATTGATAACAACTATCGCAATGTCACTTATGTTTCCTCGTTCGAAGTCGAAACGTCATTATTGCTCTTAGACAGGCTTTCATAAGCAGTGTAGAGTGTGATGTCGAAAAAACGAATTCTCCTTTTCAAAATAGTTTCTACAAAAAAGCATTGTTCTTGGTATTGCAATACAAGGTTGCCAATCATTTTAACACATATTGTTTCTTAACCAAACCATTGTGTAAATCAATCCCTGCTAATAACACTTAAAACCACTTTAACAACATTATCAAAATTTCGTCATAGATACGAACATTTTTACCGTAACAAACTCTTAATTGGCGATGAGGAGTATTTGATCTATTTCCATATTCTCTAGGTCGTCCAGTGGTCGAAAACTCCACCAAAATATGAAATGTAAACGGACATCTCTATTTTTCACCCCACCCTAATAAAACGTGGGATTGGAATTTCTTCCATTTGTTTTGATTTTCTGTTTATATTTCGTCACCAGCATGGCAACCCATATTTTTAGTTATTTTTTAATTATAAACAATTTGTTGCGCTTATTTTTGGCCTATTTCAATTTATGGATGGGTTCTGCACATCTACAGGAAAATGTCTTTCCAGCAGTATGCGCAGATTTTCATTGCAATGCACAAGCTGAGAAAAAAGGTTTTAAAGAAACATGCTTGCCTATTAATATATAGATAGAAGTAATATATTGTCAAAATAAACCCAAAGCACTGTGTATATCTTCCGACCGGTTGAAGAATATTTGCGGCAGGTCACAGTTTTGGAGGAACCACATTCCATCGCGATGCCCGCAAAAACTTGTTTTTGATCTTCTTCAAGGGCCATTGCTTGTTTGGAAGGTTAACTGTGACTAATGGAAAATTTTTAAACTATGCTGGAATCTTTCGCTTTTGGAAACCCTCCAGTTTAGGCTTAATTAAATTGATAATCTATTTAAAATGGCTTGATGTAAAGTGATTTTAGGGGACATTAGGATTGAATGGGTTATTAGAATGAGTTTAAATATTATCTCGTTTAAATTCATAAATGAAACCTCGATAAAAACATCAATATATGATTTAATAGAGGTTAGGGTATCTTTTAAATAAGGTCGAACAGCTTGGGTTTTGGAAAACCTTCTTCTTTAGTTAAAGCACCATAGTTTCTGCGCACAAACAAGAAAAAAACTATCTGCATTTTCCATAATTATTTGTGTTTGATCTCTATTCCAATTTAAAGATTAGCCAACTACAAAACTAAATGTATTGCCAACAATGAAATCTTTGAACGAAAATGATATGCAATTAATTAACAACACACATTTTCAAGTATAAATTTCAGCATAAATATGTTAAAAATGCAAGGTATAAAATGCACTACGAAGAGGTATGGGGTATTGTGTGAACAATATATTTCGGATATAAATAAAAATAAATCCCCCTTAAACCTGCTGATGTAGCTCAACCTTATCCAATATCTTTGTGGAAAGGCTGTTAACCTTAAAGCTTTAGGGTAAAAAGCAATTTCTCTTTGGGGCTTTCGTATTCTTGTCATGCTCTTTTGATGTGATTAACTATCGTATATTTACACTGCGTGACTTAAATTACTATTTTAAGCACAGCTGTATCAGGTATATGGTCGAAAATTGAGTTCCAAAACAACAATAATTGGTATTGTACCTTATAAGTATTAGTTTTGACAACATTTTTAGCAAATTTCTCATTTTTGGAATACACTATTTCTATAGAATTTTGTGTAATACCTGGAACCAGGACGGTTTTTGTCGTTTTAATGTACTCTGAGGCCAAAAATATTCCATTAAAATTTATTCAAACCAGCATATTCGGACTATTGGAACGGGGTTTCCCCTAAATGCTGATTTTCCCTGTTTGAGGGGTGAAAATAGGAGTCTCCAATATTTCACACTCAGAATAAACAATTGTACAAACTATTTTGTAGAAAATAAAAACTAAAAAAAATATTATGTCAAGGCGCTGTGGTATGTTTAATGGGTACGGAGAAATTTTCATAAAAACCTTTACTTAAAATTTCAATGTTTTCTTGGAGAATAAGTAAAATGGTGTTTGATTGCTTATTTAATATCAACAAATTTATTTATATCATCTTAAGCTATTACAATTTTTCAAACTCCACCTTTTCACCCTGTGGCAGCAAACCTAAGTACTCGTTTATCCTTGTATTGTTTTTATGGAGAATGAATCTGACATATTGAAAGTGTTATTTAATTGAGAATCTAATCAGGCAAACGAAAATTCGCTTAGTCTGCAGGTTTGCTGCAGTGGTGGAATTGTGTTACTGGACGCGGCGCATGCGTAAAATCCCTTGGATATTTATTGGAAGTAGATAGTTTTACAGGGTTTTTATAAGCAGTCTGCTGTTGGCGTAACCTTCAGTAACATTCACCATAATGTTCAATAACATAGTAACTGATATCAATGTTAGTGACATTGGCAATCGTCAATGTACATTTTTCAAGGGCTTGTATCGTTAAAATTATGCAAGTTTTAGTAGGTAAAAAAAGAAAAAAGAAATGTAGAAACAGGTAATGGGTGTAGAAAAATAAAAATAATTCTATAATTCGTAATATTACTTAATCGATTTAATGGCTATGTGTTGAATGTCATGTTATTTATTGTTAAAGCTTTTACTTTTCTTTCCCATGCAACATTTGCTTCAGTAGGATTACTATATTTTTAATTAAAATAAATTTTAAATGTTGGTTTGTAATCACAATTCTCCAAGTAAACTTATCATATCTGTATTATGTATGTATTTTCTTGTGCTTATCGACTATTTTCTTGCCGTTTTATCAGAAATTTGTTAGAAATAACTACAGTAGTTGTATACATTCGATAGCAGCTAAGAGTTGTACATAATGATATATACAATTAAATACTCATATTAGATGGCATATTAGATTTTTCTTTGGTTACACTAAGCAGAAAAAGAAATGCTATTCTATAATCTTATGTATTCCTTGAATAATTTTTCCAAATGAAATGTGTACCTATTACTTAGCATTATAAACATACTTTGTACAAGGTTTGATCTTATCTTTATCAGTCAATAATAGCTGGGTGGAGCTCCCAAATTTTTCACAAATACCTATTATTAATTCACTATAGCAATCACATATTATGTGATGGTACCTACTCATCAAAAATTAGTAAAAGCTCAAAAATAAAAAACATAATACATTATAAGCGAAACAAAGTAGTTTTCACGTTAACAGATAGTGAAGAGTGTGCTCAAAATTACAAACAGAAGCGAAGATTTCCATGTGTTCGTGATAACATCCAATCGCCTCCAGAAATATGCTGAAAACACAGCATATTTGTCCAGGTTCCAGGTCACGGGAAAAGCGTTACACATAACGAAAAGAAATAAGAAATTCACAAACCAATATTCTAAGTTCACTAACGTTGCGTTGAGAGAATTATTTTTAAATTTGATTTCTATGACTTAACCAATACGACTTGTATTGTTATTCCGGCTGAAAAAATATTTGACTTGATTTGAGTTGTGTTGTTTCAAGTCGTCTTGTATTGTATTAAACCTAGTCTGTCCCATACATTTAAATTCACTGATATTCATGGAACATGGATAACGATTTATATCAGTAATTTTAAACCTGGCTAAGTTATTATACCACAACAAACTATTTGCCGAACATATTGTGAATTATATTTTTTTATAGAAAACTGTATCACATAAACTAAAGCCATTATCTATGTTGGTTTAAATTATGGTTGATTAAATTTTATTTTTCAGATGTCACATGTTTACCGCAGGCGAAGCCAGATGATGCAACTTCTCAACCCGATAGTTCAGTCAACTTTTACATATATCCTACGTAAGTTGGAAATTTAGCACAAAGCTTCAAAAATATATTCAAATATACAATTCTCTATACAGAAGTTCATACTGTTATGTTGGTCCAATCTTTAATTACGTAGAATCTTTGAATTGTGAAATATTTTACTGTTTAGATTCCTATATAGCATAGGCTATACTTGCAGTTAAAGAACAATTAATTATTGCCTCAGACTTTGCAAACTAGATAATGGTAAAGTAAATTTATGTGAACTGTTTTTTTCATTGGATGGACCTTTAAGTTGGAGAATTCAAATATCAAAAGGTACATTTTTTTGTACACCGATAACTTATGTTTCGATAGTGTATTGATCTAGGTCGGTGAAAGGAAAGGGCTTGGCTCAGGCACTCCATCTTTGGTCGTTTCTTGCCGATCTATCAAAACCACATACCTGAGAAGAATGAATCCAGTTTAGTACAAATATGTTATAAATTATCTAGTGACACATTTATGAATATTTCCATTTCGAGTCCTTATGTGTAACATGTAAACGTATCAATACAAACTCAACCGGTATCCTTTGTGTATATAGATACATAAATTTCAATCCGTTATCTTTGCGTATCCTATATGAATTTTACAATAAAACAAGTTTAAGTCACAATTAAGGCACTTAAGTGCGTTTGACAATATATTAGCCTCATTTTGAGAAACCCTACACTAGCAGATCCATATTTAAATCTGTTTAGTTTCATATATGTTTAATACATAGGTTTGGTGCTATAAATGAATACATGTTACATTTTCTGTGGTCAATTCTCCTTGTATAAATGAATTAGTGGTTAATTATCATGAATGAATTGATAAAATGTGTTGAATGAGTTGAAATTGTCGATCACTTACGTGAGTTTGTCTAATTGTTTCTAAATTTCAAAGATTCGTACCATAATAAAAGCTTTTTTTACTATTTATCACTATGTCTAACATTTGAAATAGCCAAAAATACCTAGAATAATACATCTATAAATAATAAATTGCTAATGAATATCAATCTTCCCTGCATAAATGTCTTAAATTTTCAGACCAGATTCCGTAGACACACCAATTGTAGATGATCCGGGAGTGCTTCAAGACGGTCAACCCCTTACAATAGTCATCCATGGATTCAAAGGGGATCACACAGCTCGCTCAATGAACGCTATAAAAGAAGGTAAACAATAGTCTTGAGTTGAAGCTTTTATTAATCTTGCTACTGCAGAAGACTATAGATTCAGTCAACAATGGTAAAACCTCTACGAACACTGAGCTAGAGATACAAGAGGAGAGGGAGCACTAAATGAGAGAATCTAGAGACGTTGGCCGTCATATGAACTAGGGGTAAAGTACATTGGAACTAGAAGCTTAGGGGATTATGGAATCGTAATAAAGCCATAAGCCAATGAGCTGGTTGATTCCTCTAGTTGGTACCAACACCACAAAACCGTACAGCGTGTCGATTTTCTAGCAGATTTCCCTTGCCATTGATGCCTCTAGTTGTATTTCTATCTTCACGGACTAGGCACGGTTGGGTTGCAGTGGAAAGGTCAAGTTTCAGGTTGGCAACAATGTCAATGCCAGACTGTGGTCAGCTGATTGCGGCATTCTAGTGGCAGCACTGCTGACGAGTGGGTAATTTTGCTGACGTATTTTCCAGCGAAGTTGAAGGTTGTTTTGCGACCTGTGATTGGTGATTCCCGACAGTGTGTTTTCAGTTTGTTATGTCAACGTGGTGTTGTGGATAGTCATCAAAACAGCTAAGTAAACCACGGCGTGAAGAAAATGTTTTTATTTGCTATGTTTACTAAGTTCATCTCGCAATAGAGGACAAATTAAGATAGCAAAGCTTTTGTTGTCCACCGATGAATGTAATATTGAGTCTTTCTAACGAATTGAACTAATGTCATCAACACTGAAGCTTGTAGTACATATTATAATGCTTATATAGGTCCCAAAAAATGAACTATAGTCTTTTAGCTAATTTCACATATAGGGAATAAGCTTTTACCAGAGGTCTCATAGTAAGACCTAGACCCGGTACCGATTCACTATTTTGTTTTGAGGTCCCTAGAGACCAAAAACACCAATAGAGGGTAAGTGAACTGTTGTGGTTTACCTTTTATGGATATATATTGATTACACTTTTATAAATATATTTATTTGATACTACACCATTAATATTTTAGTAAAAATATACTTAATTACCCTCCTTCTTTCAGCAGCAAACCAAGGTAGCCTAAGCAAAACCTAATGTTGTTCAAATATATTAATTGAAAATCCTATCAGACCAATTTAAATTCACTTAGTATGCAGATTTGCTGTGGCAAGGGTATTTTTTATTCATCTTCATTCTGAATGTAGTAAATTAATATTTCACGTGTAAAATTCTAAAGTATTTAGATGAAAACTAATGCATGACTGAATAACAATGTTTCATATTCAAGACAAAAGGATTTTATCAAAACCATTTAATCTCAGTGGAAATGTGAACACTGATGTCTTTGTTTCGTTTCAACCTTAAACAATAGGCTTGTATCTACCAGCATGTATTTTCATACAAGAATAAACAGATGCCACCAACAGAAAAACCAGGTGTTGCAGCTAAATCTATGTAAACAGCTTTTTGTGACATTTCCCGCCAATAAATGTATCACTCACACCCGTCAGGTCTGAATCATCCCTGTTGTGCTGATGAAAATAAATTACTGACGAATATTTCATTACTCACTGATGCATTAGGCCGATGGACAGCTGAGTAAGTTGTTTTTTTCCTTCACAAATTTAATTAAACGAGACTGGTTTTGGCGTTTTGGTTACATGATGGATTTGTGGTCGGATCATACTCGTATCATATGCCATTTGATTCTAGTTATTTTACAAGACTTAAAAGCGTACAATACTTTGGTTGTTATAATTTAACGATATATATAGGGATTTAAAACATTGGAAAAAATAGTATGTACAATTTTCAATTCACATTTGACAACAAATTGTTGTCAAAAAATATTGTCCATTGTAGTATTTAATTTAGAGAAAATCTGTTTAAACGTCAATATTAACCAAGTAATAGAATCAAACTAAGCTGTTAATCTTCCTAATCCTATAACTTACCTCCAAATCATTGTATTGCTGTTTGTTTGTTTATGACAAAACTATGATTGCAGTTACACAATGGGGAAAAATTAAATCTTATATACTTTATTTATTTTCCCTTGGAGTTTTGTTTTCGTTTCCAATAAGCCTATGAGTATTATGGAAACAGTGATGTATGTCAAGAACAATTTACCTAATGCAAAACTGCTCTAGGATTTAGAAACTTTTCACAAAATTTTCGGAAATCAATAATTTCAAACGTTTTCTTTTCCCTAGCCCTCCTGATGTCAGGAGCCTCCAACGTTGTGGTGATGGACTGGAGTATCTTGGCTGACGACCCCAGTGACTCCGCACTGACGGCGTACCACGAGGTGAGAGACAAAGGGGTGGCGGAGGCTGCTGCCCAGGCGGCTGCCTGGATAAGTATGGTCATGGGCAGCAAGAGTATCAGCCCCGAAGACGTTCACCTGGTCGGCTTCAGTCTGGGAGCTCACGTATCTGGGATCATAGGGCAAAACCTCAACAACTCACTTGGGAGAATAACAGGTCAGTCAGGATATTTCAAGGAGTTAAAATGATTGTTTGCTGCTGTTTAAGTTATAAAGTGATTTGCCTGTACTTCTTACTGAATAAAATCAGCTGTTCATTGATTTAGGGCCATTCAGTAAGCCTAATGACCTATGAAAGCTGGGTCTTATGTGTGTTTCTAAACAAAAGCTACATACTGACTTAACTCATTGGGCACGTGATCACATTTCACAAATCTTTTCCACGAGGAAAGTGGTCTCAGCACCACTCACTTCCTGCAGATACAGACCGGTTTAACCGATGTGCTGATTAAAATTGCCCAGTTAAAGAGATGTCACTTCTGCCGGGTGTACATAGTCCGGTAAACTGATGCGCCGTTAAAGGTTGACCAGATAGAAGAGAGTATACTGTACTGATATTTCTTGTTATCTATTGGTGGCCTTGTGATTACTACGTGAGCGTTATAGCTGCTCAGTTACTACATATTAAGTGTTATGTTTACATTAGAACTTTTTGTGCTGAAATTTAGGTTTGAATTCTGATTGGAGATACCTATGGTTGTTGCCAAATTTTGTTCCTATAGCTGTTGAGTTACAAGAACGTCACCGGTATAACCATGAGTAAAGTTGTTAGCTTTTTGATTTTGGAAACTGGGTCCATCTCTCTCTGATCATTTACCTTGTAAAAATTATATTTGCTAAATAAACAGTTGATCTTATTAGGTGGAAAATCTACACAACACTGAAATTTAAATCCTAAAAACATGGCATTTTCCTTAAATAAATTACTGTTAGAGTACTTGTAAGGGAGAGAGCCTCCTTTCATAAAAGCTAAACATGTTCTAATTAAGGACATATGTTAAACTCCAAAGTTCTGGCGAGGGTTTAATATTAGATTCTCAGAACCAATACACTCGAGGCGATTGGTTGATATATTGACCTGGATGGTAAAACAAACCAGACCAATAGTAAACATTCTCGGAATTTATGGAATATTTTATGTATGGTTGATTCTTTAATTTTCTACACTACATGGACCGATTATTTGTTCTCCTAAATATTCATTATGTTACTAAAATCATTACTTCTTGTGTTAAATGTATTTACAGTGAACTTGTAATACGTAAAATAAATTGGTTTCAAAACTGCTGCATTATGTCGATCCTAAGTTTTATACTTGATATTTTTGACATAGCGTGCTAAAAAATTGGTGTCCTGTAGTAAAACTACAAAAGTTTATGCATGAGATTCAATTTCCAGCACACCCAAAAATCTTCAATGAGTTTTGACCGCTTTGTCTTAAAAGCGTTTAAGCACCACTAAAACTTTAAGAAAAAAGAGTTAAATTAAATAAAGTATTGAACTCATGTAGGTAAATTTGGCCAAGGAATATATGTACCAAACGTACCTCTCTGTTAAATTCCAAATATACACCCTAAAATCTAGTGTACATCAGCTACAACAGTGTTCCTTTGAAAACTCCATGAAATATAAATGAAGTCAATACTGATTGTTTCGAGTACTTCTAAAGGTCAAAGGTTGATAAACTAGATTAGAGGTTAATGTTCGTCGAACTTCCTACACGCTATTAAATTAGCAAACCGCTTTGGCATTAAACATTTCCAACATTTTAGCTGATTTTAGCTTACCTCTTCTCGTAGCTAGTTTGATCAAAGTTACTCCAGAACTTAAATCAATAAAGTTTACAAGTCATGAAATAAATATTTGCTCAAATCAATGTTAGTTTCAACAAAATAACAAGTTATTTATGACGTAGAGACAGTCTTGTTTTGACAAGGGGTTTGTAAAAAAAGCCCTCTTAGTTTTATCAATGGTGTAATGACAATCTAAATCAACAAAAACTGTTTCTCTGAAATAGGAAAAGCTTGGATTTCTAAAATAGAATATTTGAGTGAACTCCCTTTCGTGGTTAATGTTTTTATGTCAATCTTACTTAGAGGTCACATAAATTACTTACTTACTCTGACTCCTGTGGCCATTAAATACCTAGGTGGTCTTCGGCCTCGCCAACCATGTGCCTCCAGGATCCTCTGTCTTCTGCCAGGTCTAGATCTTCTCCCATTCTTCTTAGGTCCTTCGTAACCTCGTCAAACCATCTCTTGGTCTTCAATGGTCTCTTGTCTTCTAAAGTACCTCTCAACCATACCTTACCATATCCTTACCACAATATTTGGTTCCTTTTAGAAGGAAAAGTAAATATTTATCCTAAAACAGTATGCAGCATTGGAATCATTGTATTGGACTTAATACATTACTGTAATGACTTTATCTGTTTTGTTTTGCAACTAGGTCTTGATCCACCGAAATTTGGATACGAGAAGATCCACAAACAGCATCGTCTGGACAAGGGAGATGCTATGTTTGTCAACGCTATTCACACATCCGGAGGAATCCTTAGTTACACCGAGAAAGACCCAATCGGACACGTAGACTTCTTCCCCAACGGAGATACAGTTCCACAGAAGGGATGTCCCTATGAAAACCCCATTGATATAAGTAAGAGCCTGTTAAGTATAATGCTACTTTATACCTTTAGCAAAATGGGATTTCCCTTGAATGTAGGTAACATACATTCAGGAGCACTCATATTGCTGGTATAGGTGTTTAGTTTGTTAAGTATGTATTTTTAAGGCTTTGTGAAGACGATAGGCTATAAAAGGGGCGATAAGAAATTCGTATCGTTTTTATTGTCTGGGTGCGTCATTCACCTTTTTCCTATTTTTTTCGAGGTTCTACAGCGATATTGTTTTTCCACTCTTTCTTCATGCTAGGTACAAAGGGGGTTGCGGCATTACTATTTATATTAAATACTTTGGTGATTGACGGGTTTTGAACCCCGGATCTCGGAAACCGATTCCCCTCACTTTATCAGTACACAAGCTCACCCCATACTATGAATATCACTACACAAATTAGTCCTTTTTTAAAATTAGGCCAATAAGCGTTTCTCCTCATCTAAAACATCATGTGATCTCCACGCAAAGATATTTAACTTGAATTATGAAACAATTTGGCAAATCACAAATGTTTTTAGTATAACTAGTACAGACAATTATATGTGATACTATTGGTACTATCGAAGATCAGAATAGTATTCTGTGAATTAATCTCCTATTCAGCATTTGTAAAACCTAATGAATTAATACGAGTAGTATTTAGATACTCTTCCACTAGAATCACTAAAACCAATTAGGTTCCTTATCTCATTCTTCACTTTTAATCAAACAGGATTTCTGTGAATTTATCCGACCCTAATATCTTACTCATACTCTGGATGTGTGTGGCAGTGGATCTGCTCCAAAATTAATCGGAGGGATTGCTTTCATGACAAATTGTACGGTCATTTTCAATAAGTCTTTGTATGATTTCAAAAGTTTGATAAATAAAATTGTTAATACAAAATATTAATTTTTATGTTGCTACTAAGAGGGTATTGCTGTTATTATTTCAATAATAAGTGATTACAACGTCATCATTATAATGTAGTTGATTAGGTACTTTGATTATTTATCTACAAAAAAATATGTTATTATTTATTCAACGAGGAAATCTCTATAGAAGAAATACTATTTTAAACCTGTTCATTCTTTCAACCGTTGACAATTTAAATAATTTATGGTAAGTTTACAAAGTAATACTTAATTTGCTACAGTGGTCACAATGGTCCACTAGAACTTAATATGTTTTTACATCAAGTCGAGTCTCGTACAAAATCACCTCTAAATGATGTATTGTTTCACAGTTACTTGCAGCCATTACATGGCATTTGCTCTGTTTGCGGAGTCGATATTCCACAAGAACGCTCTTATCGCCACAGCTTGTGATACCTGGGCGTCCTTCAACAAAGGTCACTGCAAAAACGGCACCCAAGCCCCCATGGGGTACGCCACCCCTCCCACGTGAGTATGTGTAAAAACTATAAAGTGCAAAACAAGAAAAAGGGGAAAAATGTATGTTACAAGCAAATAATTCGTAAAGAAGAGCAGTGTAAATTAGTAATGATTGCAGAGAATGTTCTTTCTAGAACAAATTATTAATGTTTTCATTTATGCAAGGAAAATATTAAACACTAAGGTCAGTTTTTCATAATAAGAGTATCAAGGATTTGTAAAAAGTCACAGTAGTATAGGTAAGATATGCCCGAGATATGATATATCATAAATGAGCTAGCAATTATCGATTTCGTCAATATGAGAGAGGTATAGACTAGCAATATACCAACGTGTTTGATTCATTAGTATACTCGTTATATACGTTGTGCTTAACACATTTATTTAATATTTAAGATACTATTACCAATTTTGAAGTCAATTAAATATGTTTCACGTATTTTTCTAGGTAGCATTCCTTAGGTTCTTCAAACAATCTCTATGGACTAGTTAATTTTCCTAATACATGGTTTGTGAAATGCTAACAGAGGACATTTTTCGATTGATTTCAGTGACAACTGCTAACACAATGAAAGCTAGGAAATAAACAGCAAAAATATAATTCTGTGCATTGTGATAATTTTCCTTATTTAAATTCACTAAATAAGTCCACGTGACAATTCTAAAAAAATATATCTAATGAAACTTACGAAAAATAAAATAACTTGCGTTTTTCAGAACCAGAGGTAAGTTCTTCACGAGTACCAAAAGCAAACCTCCCTATGGAGAAGAAGATCCTGAGAATCCTCTTCCAGACAACATCAAACGTCTCCTGGTCTACAACACCAGTGAGGCCTTCATACAACCTAAAGACGTTGTGAACTTCCTAACACACAAAGATAAGAAGGACACCAGTATGCCCTTAGCAGATGATCCAGGGGCTGGTGACTCAGGGGTCATGAAGGTCAAGGGGGGATCAAAAACAACTACAACCCCAGATCCTCCAGCGTTCCAAAACAGTGGAAGCAGTCTTTTGGCAGACGCTTTAGGCTTTATAGCAACCTCTTTAGCAGGGTACGAGTTCGTTCAACTATTGTGGAGCTGGTGGAGTAGCAGATAGGGATAATGTTAGGAAAGATGAATTTTAGGAAATTTTACTCATGGTTGTGATCATGCCTTTTGATTAGATTAAGAGCTGAGTGTCTGTTACGGTTAAAACCGAAGATACGGGAAACGTGAATATAAAGTGTATTTTAAAACATTTTTAAGTATTTATTTATTACAATTTTTATTGTACTTTAAGTGCATGTGTTCAAAATATAAAACAGCAATTAGTGTCAACATTTTTCTCTGAAAATTTATCACGGAACTCCTAAGAGTATTCATGTCATATTTGCATAATTAGTTTTTATTAAAGAGTGATCATAATTATTTTGTAATATAATTGAGGGCTTGGACATACTGTAAACTTCAAACTTCTTATCAAAACATTTTATCGAAGATCGTGCTGAAACATATGAAGAGAGACTTAAATCTTCAATTGAAACATGTCGTATAAGCATATATCTTGCTTAGCGTAGTTTTCTGAGAAAATTGAAACATTTAACGAATCGTCATGGGGTACATCCTGCTTCAAATCCTCTCGGGCTTCCCCATTACTCTTTCTAATGTCAAAGTATTAAAATAATACCCATATAAAAGGTCCGAGATATTAAGTGCCTTCTAAATATTTGCAATGATGTCAATTATTTAAGATGAGGTCTCCACTATGTGCGTATTTTAACCCTAACATGAGTGAAGGATGAGTGTAGGGTTAGAGGTGCGATCTTGTAATCTTGTTAGTGACTAAGATCGACATGTTCCTTAGACACAGCTGTTAATTAATAGCCCATACAGCTAATGACAACTAAAGGACCTACATTATAGTGGAATTTGAACTAAATTTGTTCCTTGTACTTAACGAATTGGTCTAATAATCAGGATAGTACTGCGGGTAGTCGTAGTCTAGTGCGGGCGTCAACAGCAGGGAGCATCATATTTTTTATAAGATACTACGTGTGTCAAAATTATTTAAATATGTGATATTTAATGCTTAATTTATTCGGCCACAACTTATAATTTTCGGTTGCAATATATGTACAGTATGCTAGAACTATTTTTTTATCCTTGTACAATTTCCAGCCTGATAACATCACATTTCTTATTAGTTGATTTGTAAGAAGAAGCTGTAAGTAATACAACTAGAAATGATAATTCTCGTTCGGAATTCTTCTTCAATAAAGCATTGTGGAAAGGTATTGAAAAGTGATAGTCAAAGCAATTAACCTTGAGAGTTGTAGGTTTTTCTCTCTAAGTCAATATGTTTTGACCTTTTGTCTTTCATTTCACTGTATTTCTTGACGATAGAACATGTTACCTCTAGTTGTATGGTTAAAATTTTCTAGTGCCTTACACGGTGTCTTTATACAATTTTAGCACAAAAAGACTCTAAGTATGATAAGTTTAACAGGAATGAGCAGTATTGATGCTCAAAGCAAAATGAACAATCTTTTTTTACCAAATATAATCTTGCAAATTTATGATAGTAACTGAATTAGTCTAATTTTAAACCAAGACAAAAAATATTATATAATATTGAGGATTCAGTGGTTGTTTATATTTCAGTTTTTTTTTAAGAATTTTTGTTTGCTTCATATAGAGTTAAACAAATTGTTTTTACCCTATAATTTTCCAACACAATCATATTATTTTATCAACTTCATTGATAAAAAATTATTGTGGTGAAAATGTGATTTTTTGCGATGCTTGGTTCTACTTACTTAAATTTAGTTTTTAGCATGACAATTAAGTTAGCTGTATTTTTAAGAAAAACATTAATATGTTGACGATTTGTACCATTTGAGATAGAAATATAGTTGCTGTGATTGAATGATGTTAACATACAAAATGTGATAGTAGTGATTAAAAGTAAGGGTACAAAAATTCGTTAAATTACACAGTTTCTTATTCAAAATTATGAAAAAATGTACCCAATAAGTCCCAAATAATGACCTAACATTTTTACTGAAAAAATGTTATACATTTATTGTATAACGGTGTGTAAATTATTTGTTACCTTCTTAGAAAATTTGTACATAGCTAGGACATAGGTAGTTTCACCAAAGAATATTTTGTATATATTAAAAAATTAAAATATGTTTGACTCAATTTATTTTCCCAAAACATTCAGTCTAGGATTAGGTATACAAAATAGTACCGCACAACATAGCTACAGTTGAAAATTACATAATTCTAAACACATTACATACTAAATGACAAATATGTTTTTAATTAGACAAACCAAATATGCAACCAGAAGGTGTTATTGTTGTACAATAACTTAATCGGTAGAAAAAAGAGAGATAATTTCACAATTTATGTATTTTTATTGTCTGGTTGGGACCATCCACTCTTACACCAGACAAGACTATCAATAGTTACATTATAGGCAACATTTTTGCACTTCAGTAGTGGCTTGGCATTTTTAACCAACCTATTACTAATAGAATATGTATTGTTCTACTTATACAAATAGTACACTTGAAAACAAAATATCTTTCCTGTAACACGAAATATGTTTGCTAAAAAAATATACGCTCTTGAATTTTCGAATTTTTTGTAAGGAATAACCACACTAGCATGGTTTTATTCAACGCGTCCGATTAAAATAGTTTTCATATAGAAAGAAATATTTAATGTCTTTACAAAAAGCTCCATTTAAAATTAATTTTTAATATGCGCTCATTTAATTTTTTTCAACCTATGAATTGATCTTTTTGCTTGAACATTAAATTATTTGTCATCCATTATTGTAAGATTTGCATAATTTGCGATTAATTATTCCTAATTCTAGTATGTTTTCAATTAACTTGTCTCATTTAGGCATATTTTTCATATAAATAGTCCAGTATTTTTAGAGGGAGAGAGAAAGGAAGAAAGTAGAAAATCGTCCTTCACAAAAGAGCTTGCAAGGTTCAATATGTTTGTTTGCCATCCTCTCCAAATTCAGATCTTTGGACGCTTTCCATAAATATTTAAACTCTTTTTTAATTCACATCCTTTGGTTTGAAAGATATGGAATTGTATTTTAATTTGTGTCATTAAATATCCTCCAAAATATTTTTTTATGCTGTTACTTTATGAGGCTCTTGATTTCAAAAAAAGGTATTAAGATTTTAAATTTGACATTTCTTTTGTAAAAAATAAGCTATTTAATATTTGGAAGTTTATTGGATATTTTTTTGAACTTATATGATACGATTTTATTAGTTGATTGTGTGTTAATTGTATTGGGAGGGTGTGCTATCCACAATGTTCATGTTGTACGTTTTTTTTTTCAATAGTACTCGTCTAACCATCAAAAGGTCGGGTGAGCTATTCAACAATTTTTATGTTGTATATGTTTTTTTAGAGTGTTCGTCTAACCATCAAAATGTTGCGGTTGATACAATGAAAATTCAGTAGCCTTTTGATTGTTTGTAACTGGACTCAGCAGTCCCTGATCATTAATAAATAACCATCACTGCTACATGTAATTATAATCACTAATATTTCTGACCATTGGGTTTTAGCGAATTTCCCTATAGGGAAGTAGCTATTTATAACTTGTTACGACTGTATTACATATTGACACCAATACAATATATGATATCTTTCGTAATGTTTTTACAACCTACTACTAATGAAGTTTCAGTTGATTTGTCATTACATTTGAAATTTTTTTTCCCCCGATCAACCCTTAAAGTGGATGGGGGGGGGGGGAATTTTAGAATTCCTGCAAAAAACTAGAACATTTTTCATAATGATATGATGAAGTTGTTTTTTCTTAAGCCATTTAATATTTTTTTTGGTGTGTGTTAAGACCTTTTAAACACCTGTACGTATAGGTCTAAGTATATTAAATGTTGTAGTCCAGGGAACCTAATATATTTCACTTTTTTACTATTTAAGATTTTGTATTTATTCTTAAAGTTAAATATTTTTCAGTAACACAAGGTAAGCTAAATAAATATCTGAAAAATAATTTAAATCAATTTTTAATAATCAATTTCATGATCATGTCAAAAACTTCAATATATAATATAATATTATATAAATAATATTACTGACTTGAGACTTTCGACTTCACATTTGAATAAACTTACCAAGCAACATACTAAATTATATCAAAAGATGAACTGTAATAGTTTCCAGTTGGTTGTAACAGTTTATTCATGAACATTCTTTGAATTCCAACACCTATCCAGCAACATCCTTCAACAAAAGAATTTAATAACTTTGTCAATACGGTTAGGAATTCAGGAATCGTGAAACTATATTGATTACATGAAAAAAGATCACAACCATTCCCGCTGTCTCTTAAAAGTATCAGAGTCAATATTCGTTGTTGCCTCAAATTTTGGACTTAACTTAAATAATTAAATAAATGTAAATTAATTTTGTTTGTATAAGAGTTTAAACTGTGGTTTTCTTTAGTTAGTTTTGACACGAAATGAGAAAGTATCAATGATAAATATAATGTTTAACATAAATATTAATTATTCATATATATAAATATATATATATATATATTAATTATTCAGTATATTAGTTATTCATCTTATAACTAATGGTTATTCACTTTTCAAAGTATTATACAATAAAATTGTATTTATTTTACGAAATCACAATATTTTAGATTCATTTGCTGTTTCAAATTTAAATTTCTGTGGTTCTATAGAACAAATCAAAATATTACGAATATAAGTATTGCAGTTAAAAAGTTAATCTCTCTATGTTATATAGAAGAAAATTTAACAAAATTCTACCTTTTACTTTACATTGTAGTTTTTTTTCTTCTTTATAATATAGAGATATATTTACTTTTTAAACTGCAATACTTATATTACCAATATTATGATCGGTGAAGCAAATCGTCATTTAGTTGCATATTGTTAAGTTTCTATTGAAATGTAATGTGAAATATGTTAAATGTAAAATGTAACCTAAACCTTAGTTTAAGTTTTAATTGAAATAAAGTCACTAACCAATTTCTACGCAGGTTTGATTGTAGGCCACAATAAAACGTGTCAATAAACGTGTGTGTGTGTTTCTTATTTACTACTAAATACAAAAATATCAAAATGAAAAATAATCTATACAAGGAAATGGAATAAGGTACCAAGAGAATAGTACATAAAAAACTAAAACTGCACCAAGGGTACCGTATATAATTAAGTAATATACTTGGGATACCTCTAGTAAATAAAATAGCCCTTACTGGTTGTAGTGATTAGTACAATTATGTTTCCTTGTTGCACAAATTGACGTTCCATACCTAACATTGTAAAATTTACAGCCTCCGATAACTGGGTTTAAAGTTTTATGAGCAGTAAAATTGTAACTGGAAGTTACTGTAGTTAAAGGGCTAATTTTAGAGCTAGGTAGAAATAAAAATTAACACAGTTTGTTAGCAAAAGTAGTAACTAGACCACGGTTTGGACCGTTCCGTCGTAAAACTTAAACAATGTCATTGGCGTAAAACACACTAAATAGTATATTCCATCACTAGGTCGTAAATTTACTCTTTTTGCCCTTATGGTCAAAGTATTTAAAAAGTATATAAAAAGGCTGGCAAGTAGTAGAAGAAATACATTGCACTGAAGATGGTGGATCGAACAGAAGATTGGACATTTTAATTTATGATACAAAATCTAAAAGTGGAATTGTAATTGATCCAACAATAAGGTTCGAAACATCATCAAACCAACCCCTAGAAGTAGATGAAGAAAAGAAGAAAATTTATTGTAAATGTGAAACTTATTTAAGAAACAAATATAATCTAAATTCAATATCAGTAATTGGCATAATGATTGGTGCAAGAGGGACTATTACAAAATTTTTTGACGAATTTAAAAAAAAATATAATCTTCCATCAAAATTAAAAAATGAAATAGTCATAAAAGTGCTAAAAGAATCATGTAAAATCATTCAAAATCATTTATATGGACAACGTTATTAATCTATGTTACATGTTATTTATATCGTAAATTTAAGTTTTTTTTTACTGTGTCTAATAGACAAAGTTTATTAATAAACTCAGTTTTCAAAATAAAAAAAACAAATTTCGTCATATTGCATCATTAATTAACAAAAACAAAGCTAGAAAACGAAATAATTTTTATGTAAAGGCACCCTCTCAAAACGACTTCCAGCTTGTTTTCAATTGTGCTAATGCAAATAAGCAACTGTTTAGTAAGATTCAATTATTTCATCTATTACGGGTGTGTTATTATACCATCGATATGACGAGCAATCGACATCATTAGGCTATTACCTTACCTAATAAATCAATCGATAAATAATTTCGATCGATGCGATTTACAACTGTTTACAACAGCTGATTTTTACTCCCTAAAGACAAAAAATGATTTTTACTCCCTAGAGAGTAAAAATGCTACTTTAGACCCGCAACGCATGAATTAAAAACGGATGTTTTATGCTGCAGTATAACGAAAAAGCTATTTTTACATTAAATTCGTATACAAGTTTGATGTCTTATGTATTGGGGAGCGAGCTGGACTAGTAATAAGAGTACAGTACTTTGGTCCCGGAGTTCCCAGGTTCAAATCCTGCCCGGAACTTATAGATTTTATTTAAGTATAATAAGCTACATATACGCCCTCTAAATCTAACCTGAAAAAATCGGAAAGTAATCCAGGCTAGAACCTAGAGGAATAACCAATTCATTATATTAAAATCCAACTTCTTTTTATTTATAACTTACTTGTGCTAATGTAATTAAACAAAGTGTTAAACGAAATTTTCCACGTGTAGTTTGGTCGTATTCAGTTCCTAGAAGGACCGTTTGTTATATGACATCACAGCAAAATACAGCTCAGTGATTTTGTAATGCAAAACTCAAAAGACGCACTAAGAGCACGTCAGGCGGTATTGGTTTGTATAGGCTACATACAATTATGTTTGCTTATACCTCAAGCATACTGCTGTTTATATTACTTGATAAACATTTTAACGCTACTCACGTTTTTCCACAAAGATATTTAGTCAATTTAACTGAGATTATTTGAAAGTGTGTTTAAAGCAAGGTATCAGAAATACTTGGGAAGTACCTTAAACTTGGTTCTGCTAGTAAAATTGAGTATATAGCGTTTTAACT